TGTTTCTGTTTGAAAATGGTCACGTGTATGGTGGTCTCACTCAACTAGACTCTTGTTGTCTACACACGTGCACGATCACGCCAATCGAGTCTAGTGGTTGTGTGAAGTGGATTACGAGTATGGTCTCAGTTATTTTGTAACACGTTGATCGCACCACAGAAAATACGGCTATTTAAAATTCAAATATAATACAATGAGCGCATTAAATTTTCATTTGCGGCAATTTTCAGTTGTGAACCAATAACAACACTATTTAAAAAAATATCGGTATTACGAACTTTTCATATTTGTTAAAAAATTTAAATGTCATTCATTTTTCCCCTTTTGTTTTTCAAAGTTATTTTATACATAACACAAAGAACAGGCAGCATAATACACATTCGTTTTCACACAGAAAAATGATATACATACATATGGACGTGTAACATGCATGATCAGGCGTGATTATCATCAATACATTTCATGATAATCATCTTCATAACCATAATTGTCATGTCATCAATATCATAAAATGTCAAAACGTCAGACAGAATTCCTAAGACGGTGGTACGATGCTTTCAATCAAATGTTGTAAAACAAACAAGTTGTCGTTCTACAAATGTTAGTAACAGACTCCTTATCGAACCCAGCTGCGATAACCCTTTCATATCAATTTGTCTCTTTCCCATCCCCTCAACATTGGACATTTTAACTAGATTTTACAGATAAAGAACAGCAGTACTGTTTACGACAAATAGATAGAAGGACACCATAACGTAACATCCCTCTGGAGTCACGTGGAATTTTTTTACAATGTTGAATTATAAAATATGTATTGTCATAATTCACTGCGAGATGGGAAAATATGGTGTAGGGGAGACAACTTCTGTAATTAACAAAAAAATGATTCAAAAGAACGAAAACCACTTTCATTCACTTTGATAAAAATATGAGCTCGTGGCAAATTAAATTAAACGCAAAGTTTCTACATTATTTTAAGTGTGTAACACTATATAAATCGATTATGATTGCATTCAAGTACGCAGAAAAAAACCTTCGAACAATTTCTTCGAAAAATTACAAAACTTAGATTGAACTTGTTATATTCATTACCACAGGACTTAAACTTAACTTTGTGGTTACTGCAACGCAGCTTTCTATGCTAATGAGTTACTAAACCTTGATTAAATTTACAATGTTGACCAGTACTAGTGCTACATTCAATGTCAAATGATACCATATTTGGATATAGGGCCTCAATAGGCCTATAATTAGTTCCCTTTTGTGGTGATTCAGATACTGTCCGACAGAATGGATAATAATATGTTGATAGAGAGAGAATTTTCACCTTTGCAATAGCTATTGCTGTAATATCATAGCTGTGTTCTTTGTGAACACCAATCAGACAATCAGATAAATGCTTATATCGGGGTTGGGTTGGGGTGGGGTGGTGGTGGTAAGTGATGGTCAACATTAGTTCCATTTCATGAGTCCCCAGGGGTTGAGATTGGACCCTAGGGCTATTTGTAGTATAACTTTATTTTGTCTCTTCATGCCTCACAAGCAGATATATGGTTACATGTATGTAATTACAAGGCAGGGATCTCAACTGTTCAATTGTGTTATTAAGTTATAGCTTACACAATGTTAATTTCAGCCCCAGTACATTGTCCCATCAATTAGTACAGCAGCTTTATTTTCACAATTTCTATCTTACTCCTAAAGTCTCAGGTCATTTTATATATGAACCCCCTTCTGTAACAAATACTTCTGCCCAAAATTGGTTCAAATTTGTCCAATTGTTCTTGAGGAAGAGTCACATAAAGACAAAAGGTCATTTTGCCTGAAAAGTCATCTGACAGGCAATTCATTGATATCAGAAATTATCTGCACAAATAATGTTTTAAATGAAGCCAAGTTCCCTAACCAGTGGCTGACCTCACTAACTGCTAATTTAGATCTAATTTGATTGACATTGACAAGGTGCCTGGGACATGCATATCCTCATTCAGGACCCGTCGCCTCTCTCCAAACAGATTAACATTTGGAGTTTAGGAAATAATTGCCCGCTTAAAGTGATGATACAGACTGAATTTGATTGAAATCTACTCAGGCATTAGGGAAGAGAATTATTTTAAAGCAAAATTTCCCCTTTTGGGCCACATCCCCTTGTCCCAAGGTGTCAAATTTAGTCCCCTTACAATGGTTCCGACCAAGATCAAATCTTGGTTCAAATTTGCTGGAACGCTAAAGAGGTTTTAAAGCAAACTTTCAGCTATATATGTTTTAGACCAAATCTTTGGATGAAATTCTGAAATTGAGTCAGGAATTAAGGAGGAGAAGGGTCTTAAAGCAAAATTTTAGCTACTGTAAATTCTTTTTGGGATTGCACCCCAGTGGCCAAGGGTTGAATCAACATTCTGAATTTAAGAAATGACTGGCAACAACTGATGTTCCAGACCAAAATTTGCTTGAAATACTTTAAGGTGTTAAGGAGGAGTAGGTTATTTTGCATGGATCAGCTGAGTTAAAGATTTGATTACTGATTTTCCAACCTGTTACCCAACTTGTCAAACTGTTACTATTTCACGAAGATGTACTCCAAAAAAGCTTAGATAAGTTCATTAAATTAGAGTAACAATGTACAAAGCTAAGCTAAAATTCATTAAATTAGAATAACAATGTACAAAGGTTAAGTAAACTTCATTAAATTAGAGTAACAATGTACAAAACTAAAGTAAACTTCATTAATTTAGAGTAACAATGTACAAAACTTAGCTTAAATTCACTAAACTAGAGTAACAATGTATATGTAATAACTTTACTCGATGGATCATGGATTGCCAGGGGTGGAAGATTATCATGTTTTTGAGGATGATGATGATGATGATGATGCATTATTTAGTGTGTAACATAATAATATTGATTGTGATATATGAGGATTATCATGTATGGTGATAATAATAATAATAATAGTAGTAATGATCACATGCATTGTTGAATGTTGATGATGATGTTGATGATTCTTTTGAATGGAGTGTACTTGTTTGACAAGCAATGACTATATGTGCACCTGTAGTTGGATGTGTGAGAGGGTGTGAGTGTATTTGTCCTGTTCAACGTGTAAAATCTTGAAAAATAGAAAATTATAAAAAAAATAATAATAAAAAAAAAAAAATGTATATGTAATAACTTTACTCGATGGATCATGGATTGCCAGGGGTGGAGGAACTGACTCAAGTGTGTACTAAGGGTGATAACTCCCACATACCTGGTATTTGAAACTCGGGCTTCAAAAGAGAATTGATTGAAAATTAAAACATGATTTTTCAATGCAACCATTGAAAGTATTGTTGTAAATCTACCTATATAGTAAAATGCACTCATGATCTTTTGTTATAGTTTAAGAATTCTATGACAGTAGTCGAAGTATGACAATCCTACACAAACAAATTCTACTATTAAAATACAATGTACATATTATAAAAAAAATAATCTTATCAACAAACCACAAATCACAGAACAAAATTAAGGCTTTTGTTTCAACAACACTTTTGATTTTGGTGGCACGATCGTTTATCCATACAAAGTAAACTTTATAATTAATTAAGCAAAATATTTAAGATTTGATGAAGAATATTAAAGTCAACAAGAAGTGCATTGATGAGCCCTAATGGTCATCTGGCTATATATAGTTGGAAGTTATTAAATGGTTCAAACAGTTCAGAATATTTTAGCAGTAAAGGCAAAATTGCTCGGAATCATTTCAGGCAAGTTTTAGCTGATTAAACTTGCAAAAATTGTAAGGAAGTTAAATACACCTGTTAAGAAAAACCACCAATGCAAAACTGTTACAAAATGGCCGCCATGGCTGCCATATTGAACCTCTAAATAGGCCAAAAAATAACAACACTTTGTTGTCTTTCCTACCGTAACATTCCAACCAACTTTCAGCTTAATGGCATCAGTGTAACTTGAGAAGAAGTTTAAAATATGCTTTTCAAGATTGGTGCAATACTGGATTTCATACCAACCCGAACAATAACAAGGAGTCGCAAAGCTTGGAATTAACCCCCACACCCAGTTGTTGGTGTAAAACCAAAATATCATATATATATATCTATATACCGGTATAACAATTTGTGACGTCACTCTATTACATATTGCTACTATCATCTGAAAATCTAATACAGTGAAAGTGCTAGTGCAAAATGTAACATCTTTTGTCAATTATCAATTAAATTTTCTTGCATCTCCTCAACTTCAACATTTCATTTATATATATATATCAACCTTATAGTAAGAGTATATATGTTGATGTAGATCATGTATGTTTGACTGCTGATATTTGAATAGAGCTTGGTATTGTCCATGAACAAATTTATGCAACACTCTATAAGTCCTGGAGTAATACAAGAAACCTAAGAAAATGAAAAATTCAATAGAAACATAAAAAATACAAAAAAGAAAATGCTGTCAACTAGGGCACTAACTTAATGTATACAGCAAGTTTTGTGAAGTTGAGATCAACAGTTTTGAAGTTATAGCCCAGAAAAGCCGTCAAATGGATGGAGCTCAAATCAATATATTCCTTACAAATGCATTTCACAGGGGATGACAACACTTGGTCAAGACCATCTCAGGATCATTTCAGGGAAATGTCAGTTCAATCCCACTGTTGGAACTTGAGCAGTTTACACATAGCAGAGAGTGCACAATGATGGAAAAAACACAGTAGCTATAGGTCATTGTGACCCTTCTGATCAGATGACCTAATAACAGCGAGGTATTGACATTAAATACTAAATCAAACTTTGAAGACTGAGGTTCAGAACTGAAAACCTTTTTTTTTAAAACAAAGGTCATATAAAGCTCTATGAAAATTGGAGCTTAAAAACAGAGTTGAACTGGAGCTGAGTGAGTCACTTTTCTGAGTTGGACTGGAGCTGAGTGAGTCACTGTTCTGAGTTGGACTGGAGCTGAGTGAGTCACTGTTCTGAGTTGGACTGGAGCTGAGCGAGTCACTGTTCAGAGTTGGACTGGAGTTGGATATCAGAAATGATCTCCTGTGCCAACTGTTGTATTTCCTTACTTTTATCCTTTGTTAGTTGCTGTAAGACTGACATTGGCAGCTGAAAACATCACAAACTTCTCCAGTTAATTAAGATTAAATCATCATTTAATCACTTAATTTGGAAAATTTAACTGAAGACTCTGACATACATTAACTGTATTTCATATTGTTACAAAACATGTCTGCATTATCAATCAAACACAAGCAATATGAAAATTTTGATTCTTATTAATGTTTCATAAATTATTGCTGATATAGAACATGTCTTTAGATGGAATTTTCATACCCAGCTACTATCATTTAAAGAGTTCTTACCACTTCATTAAGCTCCAGTATGGCCCCAACACGAGTGCTATTATCACACAGGATTGACTGAATCAAACGTAGAGCATTTGTCTTATTCTTACTCTCCTTCTCATCTAAACAACCAGTAGAGAACATGAATATCAGTTCAGTATTTTCATGATTAAAGGTCTCTCAATTTTCATCTGAAATTTCAAACAGAGCAAAATGTAACATCAAACTTAAGAAATAAAAGCTTCCATGCCATCATGAGATGATAAAACAAACTACCATGTATGATCTAGGAGAGTCAACCTAGCACACCTGCTACCCTGTAAGATCCAGGACAGTAACCCCAGTTTGCCTCCTCTGGAATGTGTAACCTACCCTGTAAGATCCAGTACAGTAACCCCAGTTTGCCTCCTCTGGAATGTGTTACCTACCCTGTAAGATCCTGGACAGTAAACCCAGTTTGCCTCCTTTGGAATGTGTTACCTACCCTGTAAGATCCAGGACAGTAAACCCAGTTTGCCTCCTTTGGAATGTGTTACCTACCCTGCCTCCTTTGGAATGTGTTACCTACCCTGTAAGATCCAGGACAGTAAACCCAGTTTGCCTCCTTTAGAATGTGTTACCTACCCTGTAAGATCCTGGACAGTAACCCCAGTACGCCTCCTTTGGAATGTGTTACCTACCCTGTAAGATCCAGGACAGTAACCCCAGTTTGCCTCCTTTAGAATGTGTTACCTACCCTGTAAGATCCAGGACAGTATCCCCAGTACGCCTCCTTTGGAGTTGATATACTTGATTCCCTTTTGGTTGATGCTGATGTTGTACAATGCCATGAGGATCAAGCTGGAGATATAAATGTATTCAATATTTTCAGCACACTTTGTTGTATAAGCATCTTTTACCTTTTTTCCATAATACCCCTAACATTTTGTGCTGTTCTAATAAACAATAATCACAATAAACTTTATACAGGACATGAATTTGAATTTTTCATTTGTATTTATCAAGTTATAAGACAAAGTATGAAACCCAAAGGACTTGTATCTCTCACCTGGATCTTAACGTAATGATCTAGTAATGGTATACATGCCTACAGGTTGGTATTTCAAATATTTCCAAGTTACAGCCCAGTCACTTAGGTAACCTGTTAGGTAGGGCAAGACCAATGGTAAATCCTTACACCATGACTTCCTCAGTAAGAATCTATATTGATATAGGGTTGGGATCTCAATTGTTTCAGAAATATGACCAAGAAAATAAGTCCCTATAGAAGTGCCACACCAAATAGTCAATTCTTACACCATGATTGAGTTTTTCTCTTGATGCCTGGCAATGCTATGTATAGTCATGAGGTGGGGATCTCAACCCTTTCAAAGATATCACCCAAAATTTAGTCTAGAGGGGTGAGACCACACCCAAGGACCAGTTCTTACATCATGAATGTGTTTTCTCTTGATACCCATTTTTGCTATCAATGGTTATGGGGTGGGGATCTCAATTGTTTCAAAGGTTACTCAAGAAGTGCCTAGGGGTGAGGAAAGATCCCTTGGCAAATTCTTACATCATAAATGTATTTATCTCTTGATGCCCATTTCTGCTATCTGTGGTTATGGGGTGGGGATCTCAATTGTTTCAAAGGTTACTCCAGAAGTTCCTAGGCATGGGGAAAGATCCCTAGGCAAATTCTTACATCATGAATGTATCTATCTCTTGATGCCCTTCATTGCTATATTTGGTTAAAGGGTGATGATCTCAAATGTAGCAAAGATATAACCAAGAAACTAGGACCCCAGGGGCAATTCTTAGATCATGATTGTGTTTAACCCTTTATGCCCAGCTATGCTATATATATGGCTATGGGGTTATGATCTCACCTGCTTCAAAGATATAACCTATTTCCCCTATTGGGCCCCTCCTCCCCTCCTGTCCTTTGCACCCCTCCTTGCCTGTCCCACAGGAGGCTGCGACACACTGTTTATATGAAATTATTTCCCTTTCACCCAAACATGTTTCAGCGCAATTTGGACAAAATCTCATCATTCCTGCAAGAGGAGTAGGAATTTTAAAAATTTGCTCTATTTAATATTTTGGGCTCCGCACCTCCTGTTCCTTCGGGCCAAGCGACACCATTTATACAAAATGTATTTTCCTTCAACTGAATATTACTCACATAAAATTTGGGCAAAATCCAATCATTCCTGTAGAGGTAGGATTTTAAAGAATTTACAAAATTCCCCATTTCCGCCCTTCAGTTCCTGGAGGGTAGGGGGTGGGACACATCATTTATACGAAATATGTTTCTCTTCCCTAAAGGATGCTTCTGACTTAATTTGGTCAAAATCCCTTCAGTTGTTCATGACAAATAGCATTTTTGTAGAAAAGTTGACACTTAATTATGTTCCTTATACATAATAAAACAAAAAAAAAAACAACAAGGGTTGGGAAATTTAGGATTGGGCACAGGGAGTTCACTTTGCCATGGTAAAGTGAAGCATTACACTATTTTCATGCTAATTAACTTTTTCATCAATCTTTTTTATTATCACCATGATTCATTCATTTAAACTCATACTAAAAAACATATGTGTGAGAGGGGAAATTTAGGGTGGGGCATGGAGGGGGTTGGTCACTATACCATGGCCATGGCAAAGAGAGAACCCTTGCCTCTCCCTATATCAAAGTAATCTCCAGATATAACAGAAGACTGATGATAAGGGTATCACTCTGTATGCCCCCCTCCACCTCTATCTCACCTTAAAGTGTATGAAAATCTATAAACACATTATTCACATAACTTACTTTTTCAAACGAGCACTTTTGCCATTGGGAGCTTCAGATAAGACATTGAAGTAGGTGTCAATCACCTGTTGGCCATTTTGGTTTGTGATAAGGAAGTCTCGGCCATAGGCAGATGCAGCTATATCTGAAAATCATGTAATAAAATAATACACTTAAATTTCTTATAAGTAAATTCAACTTTATCACTTTTTTTTTTATCAAATATCAAGACATTTACTGCTTTTGACACATTGGCAAATATTTTTCAAATACATATTTTCAAATTTTTATGTGAAATGAAAACTATTATGACTAGTGTAAAGCTTGTGTATGTTACCTCACAAAATTTCTGATAGAATTTTTATAGAAAAATCTAAGCAATCCTCCGAGACACAATTAAATTGGCAACAGCAAACACCAGTTATTCCACAAAATGGATTTTCCATTTTAACAACAATAAACTCAACCTTTGACTTCTGGGTCTGAAAAGCAATTCTTTGCAATGCACTTTTAGTAAGAAAGCATTGTTTGAGTTAGATTTGCCCAAGGGAACCCAAGTTATATCATGGAAACCAATTTTCTAACAATAACCTGGACTATTGACCCTCGGACCTGAAAAACAATCCAAAACAAGCCATTTTTTTTAAAGGAAGTATCCTATGAGGTTTGAGTTTGATTGGTCAAAGAAATTTCAGTTATCACAGGGAAACTGATTTTTCCATTTATAGTAGAAGTGACCTTGACCTTTGACCTTCAAATCTGTAAAGACATTCCAAGAAACACTTTCAGTGAGGAAGTACTAAAGTTTGGGTTAGATTGGCCAAAGCAAACTCTAGTGTTCACATGGAAACTTATTTTCCATTTATAGCAACAGTGACCTTGACCTTAAACCTTGGGAGATGAAAAGCTACATACCCCAAGCAAGCACTTCCTTCAGGCCAGCTTGGCATAAAGTATGAGTCCATTGGCCCAACAGACTTAGAAATATTGTACAGAAACAAAAAAACAGACAGACAGACGGACAAGCTGATTACTATAGGGCACCCCATATTGATGCAGTGACATAATTACAAACTTGTGATGATCCCACAAAGTGCCAAAATGAACTGTGTCTCCTCCTGATCATCTTTAGGCCAGTCCACCTTGTAGGCTGAAACGTAGCTCTGTAGAGTGCTAGTCACCAGGCAGAGGAACTCATCCACTTTGGTCTGTTCCAGTAATGAAAAATTAATAGGTTATTCTTCTTTGATTAAAAATTTGATTTAATTTAATAATGAGTAAATGATGACATTTTAACTCAACTCAAACGAATATAGCCTTTCTAATGGTTTCAGGGAAACATTCCCTCCTCAACAATATCAATACTTAAACACAGACTATTCTATAATTACTCTGTCAGCCAAGAAATGTAATAACCTAAACTATGAAATACTGTAGCTTAACATTTTGAAAATTATAACAGATCTACACATTTCATTCCCGAATTCTTAGTATCAATGAGATTATTTCCCATTTTGGTTACACACATTGATCATGACATCAGTGATTTTAATCATAACGTCACCTGGAGCGAAATATTGTATCAAAGTTCCCAACAGATTTTATGAGACAGAAAAATCTAGCTTGGTATCATGAATAAGACTTCTCAAGAAATATGGAAAACAAACACATTAACTGACAACAGCTGTCAGCCATTTGTTTTTGCAATCAGTCTCAATGTAAATCTACATCTAAAATTTCAAAAAATCATTCTTACTGTACCTCCTACAACTATGGACATATTTCATCTGAATCAATGATTCAATACTATACATTGAAACTTTTTTCTGCATTTATGGAAATTGAATAGTAACTACATCACGTGTAGCTAGTTCAATGGGGTGTAACACCAGGCATTCTTAGCAAATTTGTCAGGTTGGAGACAAGTTTTATGGTATAAATAAAAAAAATGTAAATCAACTAAAGTGAATATGTAATTTGAAAAGAAACAAGAGGCCCATGGGCCTTAACGGTCATCTGACTATAAAGACCTATATATGAAAGAGGCAAAATAGGACTAAAATAAATTGCTTAATTACTCTACAGCTTACATAGTGACAATGTTGGTTCATCAAGACATTTTCTGCAGACACGAAATCATATTCTTTATACATGCACTACACCATTGCCATTACTCTGGACGTATTGTTTCTTGAAAAAGCAAGCTACAGGCCTAATATCATGACCCTTGGCCTTTCGGTTATTAAGAAGTTGTTTAAGCATTTCAAGACATTTGACCTCTGTGACCTTAAAAGTTGGTCCAATATTTATTGGAAGATTATGGAGAAGAAGTCATTTAAACATTTTAACACATTTGGTACCTGTGAAAGTGGGCCAATGTCATTCATATTACCAAAGTTGGTACCCCTACATCCTAGCATGCTACAGACATAATATCATCATCCTTGGCCTTTTGGTTATTGAGAAGATTTTAATATAATTGATCCCTGTGACCTTTCAAGAGGATCAAGGTCATTCCTATTATCTATGGGTTGAATCAACTTTCTGAATTTGGTTGAAATCCATTCAGTGGCATTTTAAAGCAAAATATTGCCTTATTTCATCTTGGGCCCTGTCCTTAAGTCCTTAGGGGTCAAATCAAATTTCTGAATATAAGAAATGATTCCCTATCCTCAATGATGTATTCGATCATTAAAGAGGTGTAGCATTTTGAAGCAAAATATTGTCTGATTACCCATTTTGGGATCCCACCCCCCACCCCCAAGTCCCTAGGGTTCAAATCAAATTTCTGAATTTTTAAATAATTGCCTATCTTAACTGATGATTTAGGCCAAAGCTTGTTGAAATCCACCCAGGCAGAAAGGAGGAGTAGGGTTTTAAATCTAATTTCAATACCTCTCCCTTTGGGATCACATCCTTCAACCCCAAGTCCCTAGGGGTCAAATCAAAATTCTGAATTTATATTTATGCATATTTAGGTTCAGCAATATATTTGACGTACTTCATCTATACCTAGGTTCTGGAGTTACATTGACCAATTTGTGGTCAATCAGCAGACCTGCATCATAAATAATCCATGCTCTATATATAATTACATGGTATCAGTTTAGGGTCACAGTCCCACATCATGAAGAGTGAAACTGTTTCAGCTCCTTTGAATAACTATAACTTTGACAAAGGACAAACCGAACAAACAGACGGACGGATGGACACAGCAGTGACTACTGGCATATATGCTCTCCCTTCAGGGGAGCATAAAAATTAAGGACAAGTTTGACACCATATTATTTCATCATTAGGGTTACTGGTATGTCATACATGTATATGTATTTCTAATGACATTAGGTAATCATTGACAGGTCAAGGTCGTACAAGCTATATCAGGTCAAGGCTACCTACCCCAACCAGGATAGATTGAATGCTCTCCTCACACCGCGACACTCTCCACAGAAGTGTACAACAGGCAGAGCCAAGACTGGAGCAGTAGTCAGATTGCTGGGAGAGCTGCTGGCTCAGGTCTCGAACCTCACATCGGAGCTGAACATTGTCCTGTAAATTAACATAATCAGAATCTCCATCTCAACACCAAAGATGGATATTGTCCTGTCCCTGTCAATACATTATAATATACCATAATGTCCAACATCACAACACAAAAGTTGTCCTGTCAAGACAGTCAATAATAACACATCATAATCTCCAACCACACAACACAAAGATGGTAATTGTCCTGTCCCTGTCAATACATTATAATATACCATAATCTCCAACATCACAACACAAAGATGGACATTGCCCTCTCCCTGTCAATACATTATAATATACCATAATCTCCAACATCACAACACAAAGATGGACATTGCCCTCTCCCTGTCAATACATTATAATATACCATAATCTCCAACATCACAACACAAAGATGGACATTGCCCTCTCCCTGTCAATACATTATAATATATCGTAATCTCCAACCACACAACACCAAAGATGGACATTGTCCTTATAATACATTATAACACATCAAATTCTCAAGCCCAATACTATGCGAACCTAGATATTGTTTTCATACAATGTTAAGCTCACACAACCTTACAACTAAAAACCCTATCTGCAATTTTTACAGTGTCAGTATAAACATGTTTAAGTCAACATTTTGAGACAGCTGGCCATGCCTTTACCCTCTAAATTCATCTTGCAGGATACATACCTTTATCCTGATATTTGTATTTACAATTTACTGCTGTTAACAAACATTATTCTATGATGACTTAAAAAGCTTGCTTTGCTTTTGGATAAAGAGGATAAGTAATTTCACCAAGATTTACATTTCAATACTTACTATGCTTACAACAAAGTTGCTAGAAAAAATACTACCAGTTTGCTTAATAGCAAACTTAACAATCTTTTTTTTTAATTTGGCCTAACCTGCTTTTCCTTCTGGCAATCTGTAACGGCCATCTCACAACGAGCCTTCCAGCGCTGTGTCTCTGTCACAGACTCATCATACTTCTGTTGAAGTTGGCAAAACTCTATAAACAAGATTTAAGAAGATACTCTGACAGCAGTCCCAACCAATGTATTAACTGGGAGTTTATTATAATCTTTCACTGTAAGACCTGTTAGCATACACACAAAATAATTAGGGGCATCATTAAGAAATATTTTTTCTACAATACCCGTATATTGGTATAAAGGCCTTTGTGAAAGTTTTCTCCAAAACTGAGCTAATTGGTATATTTTTACTTCACATATTTTCAAATCATGCAATCACAAAAAAGAAATATCAACCTAACCTCATTATCATATTTCATTCATGTATTGTTCATGTATGTCATACATTCCTATCCCTCTTTTGAATTCTGATCAAAAGAGCGCTCTGTTTCTCCAATTCTCAAAATTCTTCCTTTTCAGATATTGGTAGGATTCCCGATATTATGGATAAATCCATGACATTAGAAAGTAAAAAGATCCAATACATTTTGTATCAGAATCTTCTGATATGTTTTTGTATTTTAGCTGACATCTTATGTTCTTTTTAATATATAATAGAAAGTGTATCTAACCTAATTGAATCTAACATGTCTTGTGATGTGCGTCCTACCAGAGGAAAAATGTAGTGGTACAGCCATATATTGTTTTTTTTTAAAGTCACTCTCTTTAATTGTCTTTTAGTATAATGACGTACCAGAATATATTTCATTTTCAAACCTGTTAAATATTTGTATATTGACAAAGTTAAGGTATTGTAATTTTGTGTCACTGGAAAAGAATTAAATACATACATACATCTTTAAACTTTATCACACAGAATTAATTTAGCAACATAAGATGGAATGATAAGATATTCTACAATTTATATCAAGTGACTTTTCCTTCCATATGACTCTCAAAGAACTCTAAAATGATTATGTTTTTACATTGCCATGCCCTCCTTAATATATTATAGTCCTGAAATTACTGGCATCAAATCAAGATGATTTTAATAGATACTAGTAATGATCTGCATTAATGAGAATTTGGAAAACTGGAAAATTCATTTTAATGGATATTTCAAGTTGGGAAAAAAACTTGTTTCGTTCAATTTTTGAGCGTTATTCATCATTCAAACTCAACTGTTTACATGGAGATTTGAAATTGTAAACCCCATGTCTTTTGCGTTCAGAATTTGGCATAATGAGTTAATGAGTTTTGCAAGTCTGCTAGCTAGGAGTACATACTTATATAATATAAATATTTGGTTCAGCACCATATAATTACTTATTGATACCTGTTTCTAAATGGTTGATCTTGCTAATGGCAGTAGTTACACGTTTGTTGACAACTTTAGGGTAGGTCTGTCGGAGCTGTGTGATTTCAGTAGCAAGGCGTGCCAGGTCATCTCTATGTACCAACACTCTCTCCTATATCAATGCGAAATTATCATCACAATTAGTCCAAAAAAGTACATCCCTTGTCATTAAGGTGTCAAAACAGGTCCCATTACAACACTTCAGTGTGGTAATTTTAACAGAATCATGAAACAAGAGTCACATAGGGCCTGCATCACTCATCTGATTACAGTTTGGATTTTGACCGTTTCCCAAAAAGGCAGAGAAAGAAGAGATTTTAAAGATTTATTGCTTTCCAAGTTCTTTCACATGATGCTTCAGGTCAAAATCCTTTAATCCACGAGAAGATAGATTTTGAAAAACTTAAACCATTTCCCGTCTTTGACCTTAGCCCTTTTCATACAAAACTGAGTCAGTTTTTTGTAATTTCGTAGACAAAAATCCCTTAACCAAAAAGGAAATGTTTTTTTAAATCTTCACCTCTAATAAAGCATGATAGGCTTAGATGTGATGTGTCTTCTTCATAACGGTGTTCGCCAAACTTCATCGGATAGCTGGACATAACCAGTAAAGTATGTAGTAACATCAAATGTCCAGTAATGCTTTGATCAATTTTCAGCAACATAACTTTTTATTTTCCAAATCAAAGCACAATGACAACATTCATCCTCAGTCAACTGAAGCCAACATTTATGATAGTTCGCTGCAGATTACACACTTTCCTCTGCTATATAACATTTATCTACTATTCATGTCTTCATTTGCATTCTATGGACATTCCAAATATAGTTCTGTACTCCTGATGTTGTAAATGCATAAAGGAAAAATGTGCATTATATTTACTGCTGTTTCTTGTTTATCAATGCGGAGATGTTTTCTAACTTGAAGTTTCATGAATCTAGGGGCATTACAAAGTAATGCTTTAATTAAAATCCACATATAATAGGAAGGAGTAATGCAAAAACACCCTGCCACTGCTGGAGTTTGAACTAGTGACCCTTTGGTCTGTAGCCAGACACATTATCGCTCGAAATTCTGATGCTTGTAAAGCAACCTGTACTCTCAACTTCTACACTACTCCCTCCTTTACAAAGTCTTTGACCCCCAAGGCAACAACAACCTTGGTTCAATATCTTTAAGCATCTCAATCTCCTATAGTTTCTAAGCTTGGAATGGTCGACGGCACCAAATGTGTAATAGGAAGGAGTAATGAAAAACACCCTGCCACTGCTAGGGTTCTAACCAGTGACCCTTCAGTCTCTAGCCGGACACTCTACCGCTTGACTAAAGGGAAATTCCCACTAGCCAAGTCTAGTAAGGTGACCTGTACTCTCAACTTCTACAGACACAAGGAAATGCTGATAAATGCCTAATTATTCTTAGCTTACAAGCCACAAAGACGAGTGTAATAGTAGATTTAAGCTAAAGAGATATAGCTGAGTATACATCAGTTGATCATTACTGCACTGAATGTAATGAGAGCTTAATTCTATTGGGAGGAAATAAGGACATATAATTGATTTTGAAATATCCTTTATTCATGAATGCTGGCGAGTTTAAAGCACAAAATCACCACACACACTGGTTCATCGGTCTGCATCAGCGACTGTTTTGCAGATAATAGTTTTTATGGTCCACACAATCGTGACGGAAATGTCAAAACATCGAGTTTGCCTTAGAATCATCTCAGAACTGGTCCTTGAAACAGAAGCTATTAAAGAGCGTCGCCGATTTGTTTTGGTAAAAAAGATTCCTTGGTCTGGGTAAATTTGATCGTTAACCTAGAGTACCGAATGTCCTGTTCAGAAGCTGGAAAGATTTTTTTTTCATTTGGAGATTTTGTGAACCTGTAAAATTCATTTTTGGTTTGCAATAGTTTTTGATTACCTGCCCAATGGCCTACTAGAATCTTACCTCCGTTTTGCTCATGGTCTGAGTTTGGATTTCCCGCTTAAAAGTAATTCCATCTACTATCGTAAACCGGTCCCTGTTTTGTTTCACGACATCTGAGCCAAACAGTTCCTTCAAAAACTCACAAAACATTCGAAGACAATAAAGAATCTGCATAATTTCATAGGCGGATCCAGTTAAGAGGTCTTAGCAATATGGCACATCAATGATAACTTACGGATAACTCGGCTGAATGCCGTATCATTATTATTATCATTATTTGTAATCGCAAAAAAATCAGAATCAGACCTTATTGACTTGTATAGCTGGCGTTAAGAAAACGCGGCTATTATTAGAAAATTTATCATAACATATGTACTTTATATTTCAGTTTCATTTGTCATGATTGGTCCGCTGTCTTAGTTATAATGCCATCCATGATTATTTGTCGAACTCGCCGCGGAAGATTAAAACGATTTTTAAAATACAGAAGGGTAATCATTTATAAATGGAAACGCATTTTTAACAATATGTTGATTCTGAATGTCACTTTATGAATTTCATGATTTCAAAGATGTTTTGAATCGTTTTCTGAGACAGTTTTTATTTATTTATCTAACAACAAACTTCAATCCCCTGACTAAATAAAAGACTTTATTTTGTTTGAAAAACTGGTCGATCGACGTCTGTAATCCAGAAGCCTTCTTCATTTTGAAAATTTGCACTCTAACAACATTATAATCGGAAACGTTGAAATGATAGTAAGAAGTAGAATAGTATCACGTGTATAAAGTTCCTGTAAGCAATGCACTAGGCCTAGTTATTTAACAATTTTCTATTTATATTTTTTTATTTATCAAAAATATTAGATATTTATTTTCAACCATAGTTTTGTAATTTTGTCCGACATACTCTATGCACGAGGTTTTTCTTTCTGTTGAAGCTACGCCCTGAATATAAACGTTCCTTTGATAACGATATGTAAGTATGTGTAAATACAGAACAACACTTTAAGAAACGCTCCTGACGAAGAGGCCAAGTTATGGCGATGTATGTGTGGGCGCAAATTGTTGATTCATTATATGGCATTTTAATATAATGGCGTTGGCTCCCTTCGACCTTTCCGTTTATCGTCTATATTTTGTCTGAGTGGTTCTGTTCTAACTACACGAGTTATCTCCCTTAGTACCATGTTATACGAATGTTACATTCTGCAACTCGGAGTTTTTTAGTCAGCTTTTAGTATCATTATTTAGTTTCTTATTTTTTTTCGCGTCAAAATGTACTCTACAGTTTACAATACTTATTTTTCACTTAATTTCACATGCGGTTACCATTTTAATCATACAAATAACGTAAATTTCAAGCCTGCCCATCAGAACACTACAGAAAGCTGGCATAGGCTTGGGAGTTATAAAAAAGATTCACTGCAGGAGGATAAGCAGCCAAATCCCCGACCTTTGCTTATAACACTAACTTCAATAGAACAGAAAAAGACACTGTTTAAACATCTAAAGAAAAACCTAGGAGGAGATGAGAAAGTCTTAGGAACATAAAAATCAGTAATGACCTTACAAAGTCAGAACAAGAACAAGAGAGGAAACTTTTGGAAGAGGCTAAACAAAAAAGGTAGTCACAATCATCAGGGGAATTTACTTTCAAAGTACGCCCCCCTCCCCCCTTAGTCCAGAAAAGTTATGAAAATCAGAGTGTAAAGATCAGAGGTAGAAAACACCACAGAGCATTATTGAAAGCAAACATAGCACAGTCATGTTTTCTAATCTTCAATGAATGTATACTAACGCAGACCAATTAAAACAAGATATCTGAATTAACTGTAAGAATGAACAATATTAAATCCAGATATTATTGGAATTACAGAAGTAAAGCCAAAAACCAGATCTCTAAATATGAAGCCACGGGTATTCTCTATCGAGGGAAACAATAGCTATCAATATGTTCCATAAGAACATTGAGAATGGTATTGGACGAGGTATGATACGCTACATAAACAAGCTGCTTCCATCCAGAGAGTTGGAAATAGAAACATTGTTCCAGGAAAATATATTCATAGAAATCTCTTTAAATAAACACGGAAAAGATTCTTATTGAATTGATATACAGATCCGACAGTGGAACGGATGAGAGTAATAGAAACTTGATAAGATTAAGCAATGAGGTGTCAACGAAAAACTATACTCAGTAATTATGGGGGATTTCAACTATCCGAATATCAAATGGGAAACGTGGAATTCTAAAGGAGATAGTATCAAAACACAAGAATATAGATTCCCCAACTTCTTACAAGACAATTTCATATGGTAAAAAATCAACAAACCTACACGATGGAGAGGAAACGACACACCCCATGTTTTAGATCTTGTAATTACTAACAAGGAATGCACCGTTACATCAATAGAGTACCAGAGTCCACTGGGGAAGAGTGACCACAGTGTTATTCTTCTGAGCATAGTCTGTAATACAAGGGTAACATGTAGAAGCATATCTAAGAAATGTTACAAAAAAGCAATCTATGAGCAAAATTAACAACGAAATCATAGAGACCAACTGGAAAGATTTATTAAATGAAGATAGGGACATCCATGAAAACTGGCGAATTTTTAAAAGCAAATTTCAGAACTTGATTGATATCTATGTACCATCCAGAATTATTAAAACCAGAAAGAAACAACAAACATCAAATTCCAATAGATGAGGACACACTAGCAAAAATAAGGAAGAAGTATGCACTCTCCAAAAAAGTAACAGAAACATCAGATATAGAAGTTAAGAGAAAATATAGCAGAGCAAGGAACCAAGTTAAGTCAAAGACAAGAAAACTAGATGAGGAATTTGAACAATCCATTTCTGTACAAGCCAAAAATAACCCTAAGCTGTTCTGGAAATGTATTAACTCAAAAACTAAATCCAAAGATAAAATAACAGAAATCTACGAAAACCCACTGGACAACAAATCTCAAATAGTGGCCTCAGAAAAAGAAAACATTTCTTTCAAAGCGTTTCTGTTAAAGAAGAAAAAGGAGAAATACCTTAACTACCTGAACTAACGCACATTAAAACAAGCAGCAATATGAAAACACTTGTGATAACCAATGAAATGGTTACCAATGTACTCAATAACTTAAATCCAAATAAATCACCAGGCTTAGATAACATGCATCCAGAGTTTCTGAAGAAGACTGCCTCCACCATAGTGATACCACTAGCACTGATATTCAACCAAACTCTTCGAGAGGGATCCATTCCTGTTGATTGGAAGCATGCAAGAGTGTGTGCAATATTTAAAAAGGGAGACAAGAGAGCAGCAGGGAATTACAGGCCAGTCAGCCTTACATCTGTGGTATGTAAAGTAATGGAAACAATCATTCGCGGGCATATAAATGACTATGCGATCACACAATCTTTTCTCTTCAAGGCAATAAGGATTTATATCGGGCCGTTCAACTTCAATTCAGTTGTTAGATGTACTGGATAAATGGACAGAGGCTATGGATAAAGGTTATGGAAATGATTGCATATATATGGATTATCGGAAAGCTTTTGACAGAGTACCACACCAAAGATTATTAAGTAAAACTAGATCATACAACATTTCTGAACAAATTGTCATATGGATAGAAAGTGTTTTGAATGGGAGAAAACAACATGTAAGAATAAATGACAAGCAGTCTGAATGGAATGACATATCATCTGGTATTCCCCAGGGATCAGTCCTAGGCCCCCTGCTGTTTGTTATTTTCGTAAATGATTTACCAGATATTGTAAAATCAGATATGTATCTATTTGCAGACAATACAAAAAATGTCAGGGTAATCAAGAGAGAAGAAGACAAAGCAATACTTCAAGAAGATCTAAATACCATGGGAAAATGGAGTGAGAAATGGCTATTAAAATTACATCCTGATAAATGCAAACATATGATGGTCGGACATGATACTGCACAGATAGATGGAACAGGAGCAACGCAACAATTACTGGGGAATTGTCTAAGGGTCACTGATAAGGAAAAAGACATTGGAGTAATGGTAGATTCTGAACTTTCTTTCCAAGACCACACAAGTGAAAAAGTGAAAAAAAGCAAATCAAATTTTCGGATTGTTAAGAAGAACATTTCAGTTTATTAATTTTAAAACTTTTCTTCCGCTGTAAAAAGGCTTGGTGAGATCACAACTGGATTACGCAAGTTCAGCTTGGTCACCAGTAAAAGTGAAAGATATAGATAAGCTGGAGTCAGTTCAACGACGGGCCACAAAAAGTTTACCTGGATGAAGGATATGTCGTACCAGGACAGGCTACAGAAGCTAAATCTTCCAACTTTAACATACAGAAGGCTTAGAGGGATATGATAGAACTCTATAAAATCACAAATGGTATATATGATAAGGATTCATGCAATTTTGTAAAGCTTAAGATGGACGTATGAATAAGAAGTGGTCGAGGACACTCTAAAACACTTTTTCTTCAACAACACAGGACCAACAGAAGAGGAAAAAGCTTTGCTATAAGAACTGTAAAAACCTGGAATAATCTTACAGAAGACATTGTATCTGCTCCAAATATTAATACTTTTAAAAACAGACAGGATAAGTTTTGGAAAAATCAAGACATTGTATATAATTATAGAGCTACTGTAACTAACCGGAAAATGAACTTTAACCACAAATATATAATTTTGAGTCCTGTACCGGAAACACTATACTATAAACATACCTTGAAAGTAACTGGTATAATGGAGAGACATCCTTCTCCCCGAACGAAATTAAAGTATTCCGAAAGTCTTGAGATTTCCTTTCGCGCCGGTCTACAAGCACGTGGGTACGTAAAATTCTATTTCTCATTTGTAAAGCCAATTCAAAAGAAGATTTTGTTCTGAAAATATGGCTAGGATTCTCGCATATAAAGCGATTGAATAATGATGATGAGTTGATCTGTGGCACCACATTATCCAAATTCCTTTGGAGAAGTGGTTGCGTAGTTGGCTGCATATACGAGTTCATGGCTGCCTTGCACACATTTAA